ACTTATTTATTTATTTATTTATTTATTTATTCATTCACTCATTTATTCATTCATTCATTCATTCATTCATTCATTCATTCATTCATTCATTCATTTATTTATTTATTTATTTATTTATTTATTTATTTATTTATTTATTTATTTATTTATTTATTTATTTATTTATTTATTTATTTATCTACAAAAAAGCACGAGAGTGAAACAGATCTCAGGTGAGGGGGGGGATCCAGCTTCCCATCACAAGAAATATCTCTCAAGCTATATCAAACAAAATGTTTTATTTCAACAATTTTTTACTTACATATGAACAATCATGGTTTGTATATGGCGACATTATCACTTTTGCTTCTTATTTAACAGGAGTTTGCTTAATACTGTAATTGACTTGCATTACATACAAATTACTTAGCAATTCCTATAACTCCACAGGCAAGGCGACCTCCAGCATGTCCTGTAGTCTTGCTGTCGTCATGGCCACCTCTTCCAAGGTCATCTTCACCAACATGAACCTTTAGGAAACAAAAATATAGTATTTTCAAAGTTGATAAATACAAAACCAGAATATACAGACAGCCCAATACTAAAAAAAACTTCAAAGGATTATACATGAATTTAATGTATTTTTATGCCAACATCTTCATGTAATTAACAGCTAGCAACATCATACTCACTGTCAAGTATTGTCTAACGATAGCAAAACAGCCAAATTAAAGAAAAACAGCAGCTCAAATTAATGGTTATTTTTAATTGACACACTTAAATGTTGTTTACATTGTTCAGTTAATGAATTGGAAAACATCAGTCAATTTCTCGTCAGTAACAAGGCTCTTATAATTACTTTAATAAAGTTAAAAACATTTGTCTCTTCATAAAAAGCTCACATTTAGGCACCACTAATTTTCTTTTTGTTGCTGAATTGAATTTCCCACTCTTAAGGACCGTTTACACTTGATATTAGAGAGTTTAAGCATCACGTTTATGGCAAACGGCAGAGCTGTACCAATGACCTAAGAATTTCGTGCCCAAGCTTGTGCTTTTGGTGGTCATTTGAAAGAGCAGCTTTTCACGATTATGGCAACCTCAAAATAACCCACTCTTGCGTTGTAACTGCAACGTTAAACTCCAAAAAAGCAGGTCACATGATCTTTTCTGCCGTTTGCCATTTGCGTGAACATCATGCTAAACCTCTCTATTTGCTGCGATTGTCCCGTGACAATCGCTACTTTGTTCTAGGGCACCTCAAATCATAAGTGTAAACAGCCCTGCGATTGAAAATCGCTGCAATTTGCATATAAATTTCAAGCATGTTCGAAACTCAGGGGACTGCCACGTGACAATCACGCTGCAAAAATTGCAAGTGTAAAGGGGCCTTTATAAACACACTGAACAAAACTTAATTATTTTATCAACTTTCTGACTCCAGAAATGTAATTTGATAATACAGACCACAACAGATCGCCCAATCACAGAATGCTCTCCAAGAAGAGTGACTTGTCCATCAGTGATGTCAACTTTTGCAACTTTATCTGCTCCAGCAACAATGTTGCCGAGATCACCAACATGCCTGGTTAATTGAAAAACAGTAACTTATACAAGAAAACCAATGATGAAATTTTTCAAGTTGATGTTTGAATTCATATACACCATTCTATTAACTTTGCATTATTTGTGTGCATGGTACCATAGGATTACACCATGCTTCAATTGGCTATCATGTGGTTTGATTTGCCATTGATTTGCTTAGCAAAGAGTGCAAAAAGCTTGGTCTATAAGTAAAGACTTTGGTCAATATTTGACTGTATAACAAGCTCCATGCTTAAACATGTGATACTTTTCCCAGTTTCGTCCTAAGGTAAGACTGATGGAACACTTGATGGTTCAAGATGACATTCATTCATTCAAATGTAAACATATAAATATACAACAATCTTTCAGAAAACAGTGAATACTGCATAGTGTATTCCAAGACCATTGGATTGTGATTAGTAATGGCACCTAAATTGTGGAATGCTCTGCCATTAGATATTAAAAATAGTGATTTGTTGAACAGTTTGAAATCTTTTTTACAATATTAACTAATTTCTTAATGTGTATATATATATCACTAAAAATTATCAAAAATGTTTTCATAAAAGTGCTCAACTTTGTCAAGGAGCATTGCATAAAATAAAGTTGTACTTTTAAAAAGACTAGTCAAGAGTGATTCATTGTTTTCTTGCTGGTTTCGTATAGTCATCAAGCTGGTATCATCACTCTGAAACCAGGAAAACTCCTTTTGAATGATGACAGAAAAACCAGCAATGCTTAGCGATCTTGGAATGCACTATGCTCAGTATTTTTAAAATAGCTGTATGTCAGCTGGATGTACACCTTGTTCACTTTTCAACATCTACAATTATGCTGTAAATGAAAAAATGTTTTCTAATTACCTGTCAGCATCTTCAGGTCCAGCATGGTCCTTTTTGAAAGGGTTGAAATGAGATCCAGCACTGGTGCATCCTGACAAAAATTACAGCAAGAAATGCATGGTCATTTACCATATATAGATAAACTTAATCAAGAGGATGCCCTTATCTTGGGTAGGTGTTTATTCAATGGAAATTAGGAAGATAGACTCATTGCTCAAGCCACTGGTAAGAAGTTTAGCCTTGTTATATAAACACAGCCTTAACAAAAAAAACATCAACTTATCATGGATAGTCATTGAAAAAAGCTTCATATACCCTTCATGTGAACTGTGACTGAAATATTTCTGGAGGACGTTGTTCAGGGGAGGTTGTTATTTTGAGATGCACTTTTTTGTTTAGTAAAATATACTTAGGATTGTACTATATTATAATCCTTAAAACAGGGTTACATACAATTTGCAAGTAGTGTATAAAATAATATATGCTTCTGTGTTACCTACCATTGGTGTAATCACCAAACTGATGGATATGGAATCCATGCTTTCCTTCTGTCAGCCCAGTTACTTCACCAGTGATTTTACATTTATCACCCTAAAACACATTATTTACTCCATGATTAATCATATTTCTTGCAAAACTGTAATTAAAGTATTCCAGCCTGTATTCATCAACTAAAAACTGTTTCAAATGAAGGCCTGTAGGCAACAACATTATCATGCAACATATCAAGTCTTTCCACTAGATTTATGAAGATTTGAAATGCTGGGAAAATGTGATATTTCCCTTGATAGAGGTGTTTCCCTCTCTTTATCTCAGCTAAGATAAGTTATGGGAGATGTGATTATGCTGAGACAGCAACAAGAATTTGTCATTGAAAATGCTGTGTAACAAATTATTTTGGTGCGTAAAAGGCATGGCGAGCATCCCTCCCTCTGATCTTGCTCTGCTGTGCTAATACACTTAGTCAAAGTAACCAGAACAGCAATGTGAGGATTAGAATCATTATGACAAGCAGTAGTGCCCAAAGGATGGAGATAATCCAGGGTTAACTCCACTGACCTATGTTTTTTTTAAGATTTAACGCAGGATCAGGATTCAACAACCTAGAAACTAATGATAACTTTAAACATGGCTGACTTGAATGATTAGAATACATAAGAGTGCTAATGTAGCTTTAGAAAACAAAGGATTTTGTACGTAATGATGCAATTTTGTTACATATTAATGATATAACTCTTGATGTAACTCTATTATATAATATTAGGTAATATAACATGCTCTTGAATTGGTTGAGAAATGTGTGTTGCTAAAGGACACACACACAGATGACACCATCTTACTACTTAGACTTTGTCTCACATTTTGACATCATCTGTGTATCTATCAAATACAGACACACAGAAAAAATGGAATCTATTTGTTAAATATATTTTTGACTTCAGGTTGTTCAGACTATCATCCATGAAGAAGGATATTCATAAATATTTGTCAAGTCCATTTTTCAAGTGCTTCACTTTTCCCATGCCCACCCTGTCCAGTTGGGGTAGTCACTTTGACTGGTGCATAATTGTTATCCACAGGATTTTATGAACTGGATAAGATTCTATCCTGTGGAAAACACAATTCATCCTTCTTAGGAACTCTTCATTTTATCTCTTTTTTAGTTCTAGTTAGGGGAGCAAGGATGGCTGAGCCGTTAAACCGCCGGTCTATCACYGCCATGGTCCTGGTTCGATTCCCGATCCCGGACTATATCTGATTTAAGTTTGTAGACTGGTTCTCTTCCTTGCTCCGAGGGTTTTTCTCCAGGTCCGCTGGCTTTCCTCCCTCAGTCAAAAACTAGCTGTGAGCAGTGTCGTGTGGTAAAATAATGAATGTTGAGGTAGTGAGTGTGAGTGAATATATAGAGGGCCACAAGTTTATTAGTCTAGAGACTATTACGTGCTACCCTCTCAAAATAAAAGACTTTATTTATTATTACTTTTTTATATTCAAGTTTTGCCAAAATTCAAAATATGTTAGAGTGCAAATCGAAAAACCGAGGCCACCTAGAAATATTTCGGGAATGTTTCTCATTCATTGACCAATCAGAAGCAAGATTAACCATCATCAAATGCATTTTCACGTATAAATTTAATCAAAACTTCAACGTTAAAAAATTAATAAAACTATTTATCACCAACAAACTGCCTGGAAAAGCTCACAAATGTACAATTTTATTGTTTAGAATAAACACAAAGTTTGTCCATTTATGTTTTTCATCATGTTTTCTTATTTGTCAGCTAAAATCACTTTTCAAGTACACATTCCCAAAATATTTCTAGGTTTCTTGATTCGCACTGTCTAATGAAAGATGTAATCCCTATTTAAAGTAGTTTTTAAAAGATGTTCCCCATCACCAAGACTTCTCAGATTTCATACTTTCTCACCAAACCCCCGCCCCTCCCCAGCCCCGCCCCAAAGAAAACACCACCCCTCCCCTGCGATGTGATAAAGGAACATCCCTTTACAAACGGTGAAAAATGTGTCCAGTCAATCAAAATCATTTCGGTAATAACAATACATGGACTTTTCAAGCGGACTATTTTGGTTGTTGGAATGACATATTATTAAAATAAATCAATAAAGAGTTTCTCTATTTCGATGAAATATCTCAATGACCTATGAGAAAGTAAGCTTAAGCATGTAGCTTAAGATTTCGAACAGCGCAAATGAAGTTTCGTGACAACAAGAAATTACAGCGAAATTCAAGATTTCAGAATTGTTAATTAGTACAAAGAAAAGCAAGACAACCTTTATTATAATGCGTTAATATCCAGAACAACTTCATCATCTGCACGATTAAGTAAACCAAGCAATGCAAGCTATTTCGAACGAATCGTGCCACCAGGCCATTTCACATGCTTATGAGGCAAGAATTTTACATAAAGTATTTTACCTCCTGTTCAAAGTGAATTGTTCCCTTTACTTCTCCAGCCAAGACACAAACCGCTTTGACAGACATTATTAGAGAAAAGCAATAAGACAATCTTGAGCTGCAAAACCTCGTTACCGCTTGCCTTCGACTTTCCTTGTTAGTGGCAAATGGGTCGAGGAGTATGTTGGGTAATTTTACAACCGGTACAAGTATCGTTGAAGTGCGAAGTTTCGTTCCGAATTGTGCTTCAATCAATGCAAATTCATAACATAATAGACCTGTAGTAAAAATTGTGGTAAGTAATAAAAATCTGATAAAGTACCCTGCATTTATAGTGAGAATGTTAGATAGAGAGTGATATTACATTTAGTACTAAAACGCCTAAATAAACTAAAAGGTTCTTCAACGTTCGTAAACAACAATGTCGCACTTCAGCGATAACGGTTGTAAAATCAGATACTTTTGGCACAGGTAGCCCAGCATTAGTCTCCTCGCAGCCGTTCTTAGTGGCGGGCTCCCTGTCCCCCGCCCCACCAACCTCGTTCCCAGGGCTACTCTGCTCGCTTTTTTCAAAATGGCGGACAGAGATAGCCCTGCAACCAACAGCAGGGACATTTGTCTGCGCATGCGTGAGTCAAATAGCGCGCGGTATACCTGTGCCTGGCGGGAAACTTTGAAGATGCAAGTAAACATGGCGAAGGCTATGTTGAGAGCTGGTGTCCTCTCTCTTGTATTCATTTTCGTGTGTTTTACTCTTCCCATGAATAATGAAAGAAGACGTTTTGTATGTAGATGAAACTGTGCAAAAATAGTCTTATTTAGGGTAAGTTTAAGAACTTGTTTCGGCATAAATACGAGCAGTGATTAATTTATTCTACTCGAAGGTGGAAATTTGTACTAAAATTCGCACGTCTTTGTACGTTGATTTGAGATATCCACGCAATTTTCAAAGGCGAAATTACAATTCTATGCTTTTTAGAATTACATAAGATTTTAATTTAGGTAGGTTTCCGCTCTGGGCACGTCCCCGGTTTTTCAAGAAATAGTTTTAAACCAGTGGGCCCGACATATTGAACTCTAGAAAAAAGAGAAAAACCTTTCGATTGAAGCTTA